TTCTCAACCAGCTGAAATCCAATATTCAGTCTACTCTGTCGTGTAGCAGGAAGCAGACAAAGATTGGCGGCACATAATTTGCTTAGTGGGCAGAGAAATCTACTGGACATATCACAAATATAAGTAACACAAAGGTTTCTTGCTGTCTAGGATCCTTTTAGTTAACACTAGTGAATTTTCTCTGGTCTCAGTGATACGTAGGCTAAGGTGCTTTTATTTCTGGAAATCATTAGGAGTGATCATTCTATGGTCTGGAAGGAGAGTATAAAAGTATGAAGGGCTTTTGAAGAGGAATCTGGAGGACAAAGCCAACTAAGCTGGTTCTGTTCAAAGCCTGCTCAAAGTAACTTGAGAACAATTACATGCGTCCCTTAGCACAATCTATCTGCTGTAGACTGCTCTCTCCCACTTAGAATAAGCGTATTACCAGTTGAATTTCATTTTCAGTGATCTGTTTTTACAAATGTAAATATTTTGTATAAGTTAAGTATGTCTGTTGAAAGCACAATGGTATATAGGCAATTACAAGTCATGATACAAAAGAATGGTGAATCCAATCATTTGAACTTGCTACATTTTTCCATTGATACATTTGTAAATCACAACCTAACATATGGACATTTACTGTTTGTCCAGCTATGCTAAATATGCACTAATATCACTCTATTACTTAGTGTGAACAACTCTATGGTCAACTGTTTCCTTCCCCCTCCATTTTACTGATGATGAAACTGATAAACAGAGAGATGAGATACTTAATCCAGGGTCATATAATGAGATACTAAGAATGTGAACCAGAGTAAGAAGACCATCTCTTAACATGAGCTACAACTACCATGAATTTCCTAGCGTGTCAATGGTAAGTCAGAGACTAGTGTATGTATCCTGGAGTAGTGAAAGTGGTAATCATTAGATAATAATGGTAACCTTAGTTCTGGAACACAAATGTAATACAGAACAGGATGAGGAGAAACTTTTATTCTTTTTTCTTTTAATAGTAAAATCTAGTCACTAACAGAAAGAATTTATAAGGTAAGCTTACCTGTTCTATATTTTTGGATGCAAAATTAAAATGGATTAACCTTTAAATTTTTCATTTTTATGCCTTTATTATTTCCCAGTATGAGTGACAAAGGTACTCTTTCATGTATCTTTTTATTTCAGTGGCACTGGAAACTTATTTTTACAAACTAGCTAGGACTAATTTTTGGTTACAGAAGTAATATTGCCATATTAAAAAACTCAGATATTAAAAACAGTTAAATAATCATTTGGTAGCAACAAATACTATTTATTTGATAGTTATGGGACATTTTTCAGTTTTATATATTTTCCCTAATTTAACAATAATAAATTTTCTAGCAAAATAGCCAGGATTTTTTCTCTTATCCTGCAAACTGTTTTAGCTTACAATTCTGTACTCTCAGCTTCCAAATTTTTATACAAATAAGATGATTAACTAATGTTTTTTTCTAATCAGTATTTATTTCTTTATTTCTATATCAACTTCAGTTTTGTTCTGTGCTCAGTATACAGAGATCTAGACTATTTCTTCTAACAATTATGATTCTGACTTTAAAGATTTATTTATTTGTGCATACAGAACTGGGGTACAGGCCAGAGGTGCAAGGATGGTGAGAGGATTCACCAGTGGGGAGAAGATCAGGCAGATCATCAAAGTACACTGCTGAGGGGAGCAGCGGGCGGGCCAGGAGAGGCCTGCTGTGCCATGTGGGTCACCTCCAGGGCAGGCAGGGATCGAACTCTTGCGGAAGTGGCTTTAGCTTCTTAGTGCTGTGCTTTAACTCTCTGTGCCACCAGGGAGGGCCCCCTAGTGCTATTTATCCAGTCATCTACTTTTGGGCATTTGGGCTGCTTCCATGTTTTTCCAATTGTAAATAAAGCAGTAATAAACATGGGGGTACAGGTATCTTTTTCAATCAGTGCTTTTGTGTCTTTTGGGTAGATACCTAGTGGGATCTACCAGTAGGTAGATTGCTGTGGGATTGCTGGGTCGTAGGGAAGCTCCATCCCTAGTGCTATTTTTAAACTGTATTTATATTTCAAAGGGAAAACTACTAAAAGCTCTTGGCTGAGATTTTCAATAAAAGTACACTCTTTTCCTTGGGTAGCACTTTTTCTTTACTTCATGATGTAAATTTTTTCTCCCAACACACAGATCCTTAACTTTTATGTAAGCATGATTCCCAATGACCCAGGACCATCAGTGAAGGCAGCTGATTATACCAGACCTAGCTAAAACTCTTGGAGCTGGTTTACTAGTGGTGGGAATAGGTGCTATGAGTCACTCCTGCTCTAACGAATACCCTGTGTGACCAATGGCATGTACTTATTGAGTAATGGATCAGAATTCAGGTTTCAGGTTATGGCTGAGAACAGCTTTTCTGTAAGACAATGTTAATTGTTACTGGAATTCTTGGCACCAGCTTGCAACTGAATGTTTCTCCACATTTACAGACACTGGCATGACTGTAAAGTTAACTAAGTAAGATGTATCTAGAAGTGTTGGGAAGTGCTCAGGGTTCTCCTGTTAGTCATCCACTGATTTTTTTTTAAGGTGGTAGTTATTTAAATGGAGCCTTGAAGAACATGAAATTAGCCAGATCAATAGCGGGGTGATGGAGGAAGTTCCACAGAAACCAAAGAAAATATTCAAGGAAACCAGAGGGAATAAGAAAACAATACATTTGGAGAACTGCAAGTAGTTTCTACAACTGCATGAGGCAAGTATGCAGGAAAAGTGGCAAGACATGAAACTAGAGAGAATCTGGGTTGATGATAAAACCATATATATGCAATTTAAGATGTTGGACTACTTTTTGAAGGCACAAAGTCACAGAAAGATCTGAGGCAAAAGTGAAGTATGAAGAGATTCACTCTGGCTTTAGCAAAAGTTTGAAAGTGAACAGAAACCAGTCAGAAGTGATTATAGTAATTCAGGTGAGAAGTATAGAGGACCTGAATTATATAGCAATGGATGTGGAAGCATGTAATAAGAAGTGAGAATAATCAAAATTAGAAAATCATAGTGACATAGTAGGGGGTAGGGAAGAGATCTGAAAGCAAGGACCTTCAAGTTGCTAGTGTACAGGTAGCTGACTGAAGCAAAGGATTATGAAATAGATTTAGAAGGGGCAGGGCATGAAGTGGAGCCAATAGGGGCAAAGGTGCTGAATATCCAGCAGATGATTGCTTATAGGACTACTACTTTTCCATCTACTACATTTTTTTCTAGGAAAAAAAAATCACCATTTTAAAGATCATTTAAACTGCTATTATAGGAGGTCTACTATGTATTTCCAGAAACAAAAAAAAAGAGGATATGGGTAATGTTGAATATATTTATAGCATATATCCCAATGACCACCAAATGGATTAAATTTGTATACTCCACATTAATAAATATGTCATAATCAGTCTGCTTATAACATGTGTCAGATACAATTTCCAGAACAAATGCAAATATCCTGGAGATGCTTAGTTCAAATTACCAACCCATATAATTTTTATCTGAATTGTTTTCTACTTAGATATATACTATTAGAAATCTGTTCTTAAAGATTTTAAAGTATTCTTAAATTTTATATTTTGGAAGATAAATTGTAAGAAAAAGGTTGGTTTGTTGTATTTTGCCTCTAAAACACATGCTTTCTCAAACTGAGAATCAGGAAAAATTCAAAGTATACTGTTAGTATAATATAAATGCTGGCTAACAGAGACGGCTACATTGGGTGAACCAAAAACCCACCTGGAAGGATTCTTTATGACTATCTAGATACTTGCAAAAGAAACTAGTTCTGAGTAACCCATTAAGATATATTTTATCTGGGCCCTCTCTAGTGGCACAACGGCTTAAAGCACAACACTGCCAGCTAGCCACAGTTCGCTTCTGTGTGAATTGGATCCCCAGTCCTGGAGGTGATCCACATGGTACGGCAGACCTCTCCTGTCTTGCATGCTGCTCCCCTCAGCAGTGTACTTCATAGATCTGCCTGTTCTGCTCCCCACTCTGTCTCTGGTGAATCCTCTTGCCGCTTCTGCATCTCTGGCCTGTATCTCAGTTCTGTATGCATAAATAAATAAGTCTTAAAAAAAAAATGAAAACATCTTTTTTTTTTTTTTAAAAAAAGATATATTTTATCTAGGATGAACTATGGAGCCAGGTCTGCTTGGATGGAATAAAAAATTCCTTGGGCTCTCCCTGGTGGCACAACTGTTTAAAGTACAGCACTATGAAGCTCTCTGAAGCCATTGCAGCACAAGTTCGATGCCTCGCTAGGGAGGTGACCGACATGGTGCGGCAGACCTCTCCTGACTGGCCTGCTGCTCCCCTGAGCAGTGTATTTCAGTTGATCTGCCTGTTCTGTTCCCCATTTGGTCTTTGGTGAATCCTCTCAGCCGCCCAACACCTCTGGCCTGTGCCTCAGTTCTGTATGCATAAATAAATCTTTAAAAAAAATTCCTAAGCAGCAATTTTTCAGCATTACCCAAAAATAACTTTTAAAAATGTACATAATCCATTATCTGGTTTCATAATAACCATTAATGTGGAATTAGAATTGCTTTATGCTATTTATTTTCTAATATGACTCAATTTAGATGACAGTAGAATTTATTTCCTACATACTAAGATCTTAAATGAAAAAGTAGCATATAATTTTAAAAAACAGAAAAATAATTTTAAAAAGAGGAAACATGGGGGGAGGGGGAATCATAGCACCTCTTTTGATTCTAATACCAGGAACAAATTGCCATCCAACCTACCTCTTTTGGATACCTAGATTCATCCCTGATCTACTGAAACCACTCTAAAAATGTGCTAATGCTAGTTTAGTAGCTTAGGATAGATTTTTCATTTTTGTAACAGAGAGATGCTCTTTTAAGATGATTTCCTCAACCATAAAACACTGTATAGAGGAATAAAATATTTTTATTATAACTGATAAAGTCAACATGATTATATCAGAAGAATTACTTACTCAAGAAGATCTGGGTTGAGTCCTTCCAAAATCATTTTGTTTCTTATTGCCATCACTGGAACACCCTAAATAAAGGGCACAAGACAATGCAATCATTAAAAATGACTCCTTTATTTATATTATAAAAAAATGACTCCTTTATATGTCTCTACATATTCCATATAAAGTAAGACCTTTAGATGCCTCATTATCTGAAATAGCTCTTAGTTATGCTTTCACATTAGTATGGGTATAGCTTTCTGAATAAGACTTTTTTTTTTAAAAAACTAACTTAAAGGAATCAGTGCCATCCACTATTCCATAAACCCAAATTAAATCACCTGCGCATATACATTACTAATTCTATTGTGTAGAAGTCAGATGTCATATTTTCACTCTTCTGTATCACTAGAATAATAATCAAGTTGATAACTGAAATGTTTAAAGCCCAGCTGGAATGATATAATAACAAATGTTTAGCAACAGGAGTGTCTTTTCAAATAAAGATTTCAGAGTTTCTACTGTTTAGTATGGATACGTTAATGTTTTTTATATGTGAGTGGTCTAATTCCATTTGAACACTTGAGGCACTAAGTTCAAACAGGATTCAAGAACTCTCTTGAGACTACTCTATATATCTCCCCTACAATAATACAAATGATAATTCTAGAAATTTTTAAGTTGCAGAAACATGAAAACATGTGAATCTCAAAGTTAGGAGTAATATCAAAAGAGCATAAAAAGGACTATATAGTATATAACTCAAAATAATAAGTATAAATTTACTTGAAAAGGAAATTAATTTGATGGATAAACATTTGTTGAAAGCTCACAAAACTCTAAGATGTAACCAAGTCTTTTTGCCAACTCCTTCACACCATCCCAAAAGAAAAGGAAACAACTAACCTGAGACATTAAGTTGGAAGACCTTGCTTAGCTAACCTTCAAAATAAGTGTCACTGTATTTTAAAAGGTTGTACACACAGATGGGGTGCTCTTCCCTCCATCCTTCATTGCATGTGAGAGGAGGGATAAGCTGAGACATGGTTGAAAAAGCTCAATCTATTGCTGATGTACAATCTTCTGTTGGTCTCCCATGTCACTAGCCAGTTGTAGCATTCAGTTTGAAGTTATGGCATAGAAAAGGTCCTTCAGATACCCGTGTGTTCCAGGTCAGAGCCCTAATTGGAAGTTTCTAGGCACCAACTTCTTTTCCTTGCAAATGTCCCTAAAATGAGTACCTAGCCTCTGGATCTCACAGGATGGTTAAGAGTGAATATACTGTGGCTAGCAGTAAAATTCTGAACTCACAATACAACACTTCCTATTGTGGAATGCTTTACACTGAAAAAAATTAATCAGCCTCTGCCCTCAGGGGTACAGTTTAACAGATGTTAAAACAGATGATCACAATACAGTTGTGAAACTTAGGAACGTCCTGCATAACAGGCAACTGTACATCCAAGGAAAGCAGACATAGTTGAGAATCAGCAAAGGATTCACTGAGGTGAGTCTTGAAGATGGGATAGTAGTTTATTTAATGTGAAAATCACAGAGACGTAAAATATGACTAATAATCGTTCATACATAAGTTTATCTCAAACCTACTTTTCAAAAGCAAATAAATACTTGCCCAGAAATCTCCCTCTCCCATAAAGTTGATTTTACTTTACATTTCATACCATAAAACCTGCCATTAAGTCCAGGCAAGCATGTGTGTTATAAACCCAATATAAAGTTTTTAAAGTTAATGACCATGTATGTTTCATAGAAATGATCTTGCCAAATTAAATTCAGACCATCATTATCTGTAATCCTTATCTTTTAGTCAGAAAATACAATTTTTAATTTTTACCTTGAAAAATTTCCAGTTATAGAAAATGTCCTAATATACCTTACCATTATCTTTTGACTATGGAGGAGAAAAGATTTACATTCTCTGCAGTTCGCAAGATTGAAAGAGGTTGTGAAAGACTTTTATTTAACATTTATAGATTCCCTGGAAGACACTGTCTCAGGAGAAGTAGCAAACTAGATAGTCATTTATAAGCCCATTTACATATTTATTATTATAACTATTAAATGTATTAAAAACAGCAAAATGTAACCTGTTAAGATTCAGGTACTTAAAGAATAACAAGTAACAAACAACAAATGTTGGTGAGGATGTAATGAAAATACTCATCCACTGTTGGTGAGAATGTAATTTGATGCAGTGCCTATGGCAAACAGAATGGAGATACCAGAACAAGATAAAAATGGAAATACCATATGATCAGCAATAGCACTGCTAGATATTTATCCAAAGATTCAGTGAAAACACTAATGTGAAGAGATTTACGCACTCCGATGATCACAGCAGCATTATTCACAACAGCTAAGTTGTAAAGCAACCTAGCCCATTCATAATAAATCTGCGATATACACTCAATGGAATACTACTCAGTTATTTAAAAAGATGAAATTGTACCTTTTCAGATAAAAATGGATGGGCCTGGAAGTGATTATGTTAGTGAAAAAGTTAGAAAGTGAAAGATTGATGCTGGATGGTTTCAATTATTTGTGGTATATAAATAACCAAACCAAATCAAAACAAAACCCAAACTGACAAAGCACAAATGATTCTTAGACTCTGAAAAATATCCTTTTTAATAGAGGGAAGGGGGAGGAGAGAAGGAGAAGATAGGGAAAGAGTGGGAATAGGTATGGGAATTTTCGAGTCTGGAAGATGAGTTAAATGTGTACTTATGGAGATATGAGAACCTCCCCCCCCAAAAAGAAAGAAAATACTTCCACTTATTACAAAGAAAAAATAAGGAGAGACTCATATAGTTATATGCATCCTAAATAGTAGATGGATGAAAATTAATAGCACTATTACAGAACTTTCTTCAAAACCACACTCCTGACAGCAATATTATTTCATGACACAATCTTTAAGGCATTCTCAAAAGGTAAATATGATAGGTTTGAAAGACAAAGAAGGTAGAAAATAAAACTTCAGAACTTTTTCTAATTTATTAAATTTAATAATAAACACGGTGGGGGGAGCAGTTAACTTGCGTAGGGGTATGCAATGTGAACAGACTCAGATTTAGAAGAAAGCAAGCAAAATAAGAGCAGTAACTCTTTCAAAATACACTAACTGGAACTGAGACTTGAGAGAATGCTTTTAAAATAAAATTTACTTAATTATTTAATAATAAAATTATTTGATTTTAATAGTAAAGGAGGAAAGCTAACTACTTGAATGACAAGATTAGGAATTTTACTTGACAATTCAATGCCATTTAACTAGTGTAATAGGGAAAATTTAGGAACTTTAAACATTTCCTAAAAACAAAACCAAACAAACAAAACAAAAACCAATGAAGTACTAAGAAGGAATAGGAAAAAGAACAGAACTCTGCTTCCATTAACTATGACTTGATGGTATGAGGTCTTTCAACAAACTCAACTATGCTGTTTATTTATTATACCTTAGCATAATCCACAGGTAACATTGGAAAGGTTATACAAATAAGTTGAAATAAGTTACAAAGTGGAGAAAACAGAAGGGAGGAGAAATGAGGGTGACAAAAATGTTTCCTAAAATATAGGAAGGAAAGTACATGTGGGGTGGGGTGTGGAGGTGAGAGGAAGCAGTGTGTGGGAAGGGAGGAGTGGGGGACAGAGAAGTTGATGGAATTAGATAAACTCCCTAGTTTAACATTAGTTTCATGGATTTGGTTATAATTTAAGAATAACAGAAACCTGAATTTATAAGTTCCATACTTTACTCTTAGTTTCTCGAAAATAGTTAGATATTAACAAAATTATATTATAATAAAATATATAATATAATCTCATACCCTATTTGAGAACTTTACTACTATCGTCACCTTAATACAAAAATCTCATAAAGGTTAATGCAAAAATAATTTCCTCTGTGCTCCAAAAGATTTCATTTCAAGGGTATTTGCTGCTATGTTTCCAATGATGGTGCTTAGAATATTTTTTTTTGCTATATTCTTCCTTAGGGTTTAAGGAACACAGCCTGGTTTGTTAAATATCAAAAAGAAATGTCCAATTTTTGATCTCTAAGAGAGAAAGCTACTGGTGGTCTAAGGAGGACATGAGAGACCTCAAAACTGAAGTCTACTGACTGTGGGATTATTTTTGGCAAGCGGGAATGGCAGTTTGTCCAACATAAGTAATGAAGAAGAGAGAAGGCAGCCATAAGTGTGAGGTTCCAAAAAATCACGTCTGTATTTGCGTCACTGGAGAAAGTGTGTAAAGAAGCCACAGTAATGAAATTATGATGGCAACACTAATAGTTAAAGACTAGTTTCTTCTATCACAAAAACTTTTTGGAGGGTAACAGGATTGCCAATATTTACATTTGTTATTGTACTATGAGAGTCAAGCTAGTAAAATTTCTTTACAAAGCATGTTGCAAGTTTTCTAAGGTTTTAGATTAGGAGAGAAAACCATCTTATTCACTTTAATAAAGATAAATGACTTTCTTTTATAAAATAACAAAAGTGCTCCTTATATTTTAGAGTCTTTCCTCTCAGTTTACAAAGCTTGAGTCACAACAATCAGAAGAGATGGAAAATATGAAGCTGTTTTTTTCTTAGATCAACAATAAAGAAAAAGATCTATTGAGTTAATAGGTGAATAGTTATTATTATCATTATTATTATTTCCAGGGAGAGGAAATAAATGAAGCTTTGAGCTAGAAAAAGAAAGGCAACCAGCCCTCTACTCAGGCTCTTTTTAAATTTTAACTTAGTGAAATGGATACAACCATTTCTCTGTCTTCTGCTTTTCAATAATGCTACCTTTAAAATACCTACACTGCAATTTATGAAATATATTAGTAGGGTACTTATCAGGATAAAACCATCAGATAAACTAATCTATGTAAGATACTCATTCTAGCACTGTTGTCTCACCAAAAGTTATTAATTTGAACCTAAATATGTGGACAACAAAGTGCCCCACAGATTTTAATAGCCCTATACACAGTGGGTTCTATGTTGCTAACATTCAATCATTCCTTTTTCAAGGATTTTCTCAAGATAACAGTTTCATAGTGACAAAA